GATGGGGGAGGGGGGCCAGGAATAACCAGTCCTGGCCATCAAAGATGGCAGGAAGTACTCCCAAGAATGGAAGTGGCTTCTCTTCTGTGACGTTCGTTTTGCTGGACTCCTGCATCCTTGGGATTCTGTGCTGGATCTTCAGGCCCCTCCAGCAAACCAGCTGGAGGTCTGACATGCGATCTCTCAAGCCCTAGTGGTGCAGGTTACTGTTCCTGTCCTGCAAGGCCCTGAGCCAGGCATGTTGGGAGCAGAGCCATACCCAAGATTATTTGTGTATCGTTTCAAAAGGCCAAATGTCCCACTCATCTGGATGGTTGGGGACTACCTGCTCTCTCAGAATGGGACACGCTCTTATCCCCGCTGCGTTTGTAGTCTATAAAGTGCAGGGGTTTGAAGGGAACTGTGGAACTGTGGCAGGACATCTAAGCCAGCCCTCCGTCCCTAGCTAGGACCAGCCTAACCATCTACCCCAGTCTGGAGATGTGTTCTCAAGACCCCCAGTGAAGGAGACGCCACAGTGTGCTTTGTGAACATTGACTGAGTGGCCTCTGCCCCAGCACCAGGCTGAGGATCTTAAGCATGGAGTGCCTTCCCTCCAGGGTTCAAGGTCGAGTCAGGAAGACTGGCACACAGAAGGCATTATGGGGCAGGGAGCAGGTTCTGGAAACGGAGGCCGGGTGTCCAGGGCACAGGGAGGGTGCCTGGCTGTTGCCTGTGCAGGAGGGGCAGAACCCTGCCTGGGCCGTCTGTGTAAGAGGCCCAGAGACAACATGTAGAGGCCAAAAGGAAGAAGGAGAAGGAAGCTGACCTGCATACAAGCCTTGGCCAGTGCCTCAGTTTCCCAGTCACTGAAATGGGAGAATAATACCTGTTCTCAGGAGTGGGCTGAGGTGATATGCTTGGAGTTCTGTGGAGCTAGGAGATAGGATCATCCATGCTAAAAAGGCCTTTGATGCCACAAAAGGAAAATCAGACAGACTTGGAGAGGAGCAAAGGTCTAGTAACTCCTCCGTCTCCTGAGATGAACAAGCCCGGGGGCTGTTTTGGCTGAGGAGCACCATGCCTGCAGCTGAGGTTTAGAAAAACGCTTGCGAGAAGGTGGAGGTCAAGTTTTAATGGGATCACGTGTAGGCGGAGACCAGGGAGGATGCTGCTGGTGAACCTCTCTGGCTTGCACTTTCCCCTCTGTGATGGCTGGAACCTTCCAGACTTCTCACAGTCTTTCCGGTGCCAACCCGAAAGCCCCTTGAGGCCCGGGCCTGCATCTTCCTCCTCCTCCACACCTGCCTTACCTCCTAGAATGTGTCAAATACAACAAGCTCTTGTTACGCTCTTTTAATGAAACACAATTACTCTGGATTATCCGAGGCCAATTTTAGCCTCAAATCACTATCCTCATACCGCCTGCGACAGTTTGAGGCCACCATATTCCAGCCACCCAGGCAGTGGGAACTCGGGAACGCAACCTGATTTCATATTAACCTGCGGGGACTAGAACTCAGCAGGGTAATTCTGCTATTTTTGGAGAACCACGTATTGTGCTCTAACTTCAAATACAAAAGAGCTTTTGTGTCTTACCTTCCCTTGTCCCCACTCTTTAGCCTGATAATGAAAAGTGGAAGCATACATCATCATCACAGCAGCCAATCTTAAGTGCCACATGTTATGTGCCAGGCAGTGTTCTAAGTGTCAGACTTAACAGTTCTCTGAATTCTCACTACTCTTTGCTGCTGCCCTCCTTTTACATATGAGGAAGCTCGGGCTCAGAGAGAGAGGTTCAGCAGCTTGCCTCAGATCACACAGCTCGTAAGCAGTGGAGCAGGGATTTGAACCAAGGCAGGCCAGCAGCAGAGCCCACCCTCTCTAACTGCCATGCCACCTCCCCTCTTACCGTGAAGAGCTCTTTCAGAGAGAGGCTAGTAACGTGTCAGAGGAGTGCGGAGGGAAGGGAGGAAGATTTGTGAGAGGTGATGTCACAAAGAAATCAGGAGAGGGAATTGTTGGTGACTCCTGCAATGAATGGAGATCTCCAGGGCTTTCTGTGGTACAGGAGTGGAGAACTGGCTTCTAAGGGAGAGAAAGAAACATTGAAATCTAACAGTGGGAATCAGAGAGGCTGGGGTTGGGGCCTCTCACCCGGACCTACCTCCTGAGATCTTATTCCATTCTTGAGAGTTCCAGCCTAGCATTCACCAGATGCATCCCCTTGGCCACCCCCACCCCACCGTGTCCCCGGGACCACAGCTCCTCAGGGACCCTGGCACGAGGATGGAACATCCGCCATGCCAGACTCCCCACCAATTCCTCTCCCCCGCCTTAAAACCCCAACTCCCCCAGTCAAGCCGTTTCTCTGCCTCGCCAGCTGAGAACGCGTGTGTTTTAAAGCTCTGAATGGGCCATTTCGGCTCGGAGTCCAGATGCATTTTTATATCCACATGGAAAAAAATGCAGAGGCTCTGCTGGCAGTCAGAAAGAGTTTTTTAAATTAAAGTTAAAAAAAAAAAAAAAGGAAAGAAAAAGTTTTCTGCACCTGGTCCTTCTCAGAACAGCACAGAGGAGAACAAAGCGTTTCTTTAATTTGGCCACATGTCTGGTTTTAAAAAGATGCATGTTCTAGTCACTCCCTTTTGTCTTTTCGGATTCATTTGTTTATCGAATGTATATTATGTGCTGCCCTCTGTGCACGTTTTGTGTAAGTCCCATAGCCAGCCCCAACATGGATGAGGAAACTGAGGCAGTTGATTACCCAAGGGCACTGCGTCCTTTCCCTAGCGCTACTGTAACAAAATGCCACAGACTGGATGGCTTCAAACCACAGAAATGGGCGGGGTACAGTGGCTCAGGCCTGTAATCCCAGGACTTTGGGAAGCTGAGGCAGGAGGATCACTGGAGTTCAGGAGTTCAAGACCAGCCTGGGCAATGTAAGGAGACCCCATCTCTACAAAAAGTGAAAAACTTAGTGAGGCATTGTAGCACGTGCCTTGTGGTCCCAGCTACTCACTAGGCCAAGGTGGGAGAATCGCCTGAGCCCAGGAATTCGAGGATACAGTGAGCCATGATCATGCCACTGCACTCCATCCTGAGTGACAGAGCGAGACCTTGCCTCAGAAAGCATTTTAAAAATCCAGAAATGTGTTTCACGGTTCTAGAGGCTGGAAGTCCAAAATCAAGTGCTGGCAGGATTGGTTCCTTCCGAGGGAAACCCTGTTTGGTGCCTCTCCCTGGCTGCTGGGGACAGCTGGCATCCTTGGTTTGTAGACTCATCACCCAGTATCTGCCTCCATCTCCCCGCGGCATTCACCCTGTGTTTCTGTCTTCACATGGCCATCCAATGACACTAGTCATTGGCTCAGAGCCTTTCATTTTCCAGTATGACCTCGTCTCGACTGATTACATCTGCAACTACCTATTTCCAAATAAGGTCACATTCTGAAGTACAGGGGGTTAGGACTCAACATGACCCCTCTTGCGGGACATGGTCCAACCGTAAGAGCTACATTGTAGATAAGGAGCACAGTTGGATGGGTTTCCATCCAGACCCTTCCAGTTATATGATTCCTCACGACATAAAAGAAACAAGAGCAGCAAACCCCTCCTCTGCTTGTACCAACTGGTGCTCTCTGCAACCCAGAAGCAAAGCAAAGGGCCTTCTTAGCCACTGTGGCTCTCCACTGCCAATGCTTGAGCACCTGGAGCCTACTGCTTTTTAAACCAATGCCTGCCCGAAAGCTCTCTGCTGACAGAAAGCAGCTACAGATGTGATGTCTACGGTAACAAAACAACAGCAACGAGAAGTAACATCTCTTGAGTAATTATGGTGTGCCCATACTGTTCTAGACACTGTGTTGACTCGTTTTTGTCCCTAGAACCCCTGAGATTGGCATATATGAGCATACTTGTTTTATAGGTAAGGAAAACAGAGTCAAGGCAGATTTCTTTAACTTGCCCGAGATCTTCAAGTTAGGACCTGCAGGGTCTGTCCTTCCTGAGCAGGGTGACGTCAGACTGTGCCATAGGAGTGTTTGGGGATGAGCCCATCAACTCAGGGTGTTCCTGTCCAGTGCCACTGAACTTGAGACCTAGCGATGTTTAAGACGGTACTGATCACTACCATATGAGTCCATTCCCATGAAATGTCCAGAATATGCAAATCCATAGAGACAGAAAGCAGACTGGTGGTTGCCAAGGGCTGGGGGACTGCTAGCTAAGGGGTATGGGGTTTCCTTTGGAGGTGATGAAAACGTTCTAAAATGGATTTGGTGACATTTCGCACAGCTCTGTGATGATACTAAAAGCCATTGAATTGTCTTCAGACAAGCGGTGTATACAGTATGTGGATTCTATCTCGGTATAGCTGTTGAAAAGCAGGAAGAGGAACCAGGCAGCATGTGGGAGTCGGGAAGAGCAAAGAGTGAGCGGGAACAGCCTGTGCCAGGACCCAGGCTGCTGAGCTGGGGGTGGGAGCTGGGAGTACAGGGCTGGGGGAACCAGCGAGGAGGCAAAGGGCACTGGCAGCGGAGGCGGAAGGGGCCCTCCGAACAGCGTGGGGGACAGAGTCACCAGGGCAGTGAAGGAGAGCGGCACCCAGTGACACCCAGAGGCCTGCACGCTTGTCATCTGGCGGCCAGCCAGGGCTTGGCTTTCTCAAGTGGCCACCATGCAGACAGCCGGGTGGGAGGCGAGCCCACTAATGGGGTCGCCCTCCACAGATCGGATGACACGCAGCAAATAGACGGCTGCCTCGTCCCAGGCACCAATTATAGCCCAGACGGCGGATATATTGACTGCTCAGTCACTTGCAGCTTTCTCCCTGGGAACGCAACCCACTAATTAAATAGATGCACCCAACTGCTCCCCAAACCCTCGCTGGAGATCAGATGTCACGGGGCCAGAACCTGGGCTTTGGCATCTGAGACGCGGGCAGGCAGCTGGCGGGCAGAGTGGAGTGTCTGCTGCGCTGATCCAGCTGATGTGCAGTTTCGTTTCTTGTCCCTCTGCAGAGAGCCTTCAGTGCCCTGTGTCACAGCACCCACTTGTACGGCCGGAGGCTGGTGCTGGAGTGGGCCGACTCCGAGGTGACCCTGCAGGCTCTAAGGCGGAAGACGGCCGCGCACTTTCACGGTAGGAGCAGGACGGTCTTTTGGGCTGATTCATGGGCCCCCTGGGGAACACAAGAGGTGGGGCATCTGAGAGAACTGCCCTTACCCAGCAGGCTATGGGCACAAGGGCTGCCAAGCACCTCCTGCTGGGTATCCTCCCACAGCCCCTCCAGACCTGCTCTCCACCTTTCTTGGGCACTCCCTGCCAGGAGGCTGGCCTGTGTGAAAGCATCCGGGTTCTGTGCCCTTTTGGGTTGCGGTCAGGTTGGGTCACTGGGCACCTTGGCAGGAAGAGACAGAGGTCAGAGTGTGTATCCGCTCCCTGCCTGCCGGGTTGCCAGGCCACAGCTCGCAGCTGCTGGCCCTGTCCTCACAGTGCTCTGTGTTCAGATTCCAGTGTTCACGGGGCAGGGATGCTCACGACCTTCCTGGTGGCCGGCCCTGGGGACCACACTCTTGCTGATCACTTGCCTCCATGACCCCGGTGGAGGATCATCCACTCCCTGCTGGAGGGCTGATGCCCACAGGTCTCACTCCCCCCCCTTACCCACCTTGGTGGTGTCATGTGGCCTCAGTGACTATTCAAGTGGTGGCCAGAAAATACTGAGCGCCCGCTGTGCCCTCATGTACCCATGTGACGGTAACCAAGCAGGGTCCAAGGCTCAGGTGGAAAAGGCTGGGACACATTCCTCATCAGGTGGGCTAGAGAGGCCTCACTGCAGAGGTGTACCCAAGAAAGGGCTGCCTAAGCAGGAGGCCAGGGGCAGGGAGACCCCAAGGTTGGAGCAAGCTCAATGTGTGTGAGAAACAGGGAGGCCGGCATGGCTGGAGCTGAGGGGAGGAGAGAGGGAGCAGATGAGGTCGGCAGGGCCTCGTCTTCTCCAAGAGGTTGTGTTAAGTCAGGTGAGGAGAGGTTGAGACAGCCTCAAGAATCGCTCCACCCTGGGCACATGGAAGGTATGGCAGGTGCCCCTTGCTGACCGGTACACACCCTCCAAACTTGGGATATCAAGGGGTACCTGACCTTGATCCCCATCTCCACACCTCTGCCTCCCATCGCAGAAGTGCTTCCACTGTGGCCTGGGCCCGGCAGCAAAACGGCGGCTGCTGGCTTCCCACCCACTTTGGATCCTGCTTACTTGGCGGTGGGTCACCCAGCTGGGGAGCTTCTCTGCCTTTTGCATGCCCAGAAAAACCAGGCTCCGTCATGGGGAACAGTCCTGTCTGTAGTGCTACCTGTGGTGCTCTGAGGTCTTCCTGGCACACCGCCGCATTCCTCCCCACCTCATTGTCGCCTGGGTCCCAGGTCTCAGGTGCTTTCTTGGCTGGAGCCGTCATCGTGCCCTCATCCATCCCTTCCCTGTGGGGCAGCTCAGTGCCTCGGGTGTCACCTGGGTGCAAACTGGGTGTTTGCTGCCAGCATTCCCCAACCCCACTTCTCTGGGTAGACATGGAACCTGCAGCCAGGAGTGTTCCCTCTCCTGACCGGTGCGGCTCTGTTGCCAAACCAGGCAGCACCTTGGAAACAGTTTCTCTTATGGAGATGGGAGCCTTCCAGTGGGGGCACTGGTCTTCCTTAGGGCGAAACGACTGGGCTTCTGAGAAGCAGTGTCTCAGCAATGCAGCAGGACTGCATCCCCCACAAGTGGACGTGGAACTCCAGAGATAGCAGGGAAGACCCTTGATTCTAGCCCAGCTGCCACACCCTTCAGAACACTGCCTCCTGCCCACGCCCATGGTCTTCCCAGACTCCTCCTTCCTCCCACTGCACCTCCCACAGAGTTCATTGTTCCCCAGACTCCAGGCAGGATTGGGTGCCTTTGCACACGCTGTTCCCTCTGCTTAGAATGCCTTGCCCCTCACTTTTTTTTTTTTTTTTTTTTTTTTTAACCTGGTAAATGCCTTCAAAACCCAGATAGAATGACACCTCCTCCAGGAAGCCTTCCCTGTTCCCTCTCCCTCCACAAGTATCAGTAATTTCTCCATCCTCTACTCTCCTCTTCTGTCACTGTGCTTTCTTGCCATGCTGTAACTTATTTCTTTATGGTTTGTTATCCTCTCTGGACCCGTGCCTCCCCCACGTGGAGGCTGTGTCATGCTCATCTCTGTTAGTGATCAGTTCTTCCCTGGGTCCCCCGTGCCCGGCACAGTACCTGGCACATGCCAGGCTCCCAGTCTCAGGCTGGGGAATATTTGAGCTTAGACAAATGTGGAACCAGAGAAGTGAAGGCTAAATACACAGTTGCAAGCTCACAACTCAATAAGGCCCCAAATCCTGATGTGCAGAAAGAGAGCCTGTCCTTATCGACAACATTGACAAGCCCAAATGCTCCCGTCGGCAAATGTTTGC